TGCCAACATAGTGAGGACAGAATAAGGAACTTAAAAGTAATGGCAAATTACTAAATTTAAGGGAGATTAACCAGAGACTGTCAGTGCAGTTACAGGAAGTCATATTTGCTGATGCTTACAATAATGCTTGGAGAAAAAGATTTGCATGAAGCATCTAAAACCAGGGAAGAATGGAAGTAATATAAATTTACCTGGATCCTATCACATAGCATGGTAACTGGCTGAAGAAGACTTCTTAGCCTATGTTCTTACTAGAAGAGTAAAAACTTTGCTCTTGCTCGTGACTACCTTCTCCAGGTATGCCACAGTTCACGAAATGAACATAAATCATTTTTAACATGAATTTTTCTTATCACAGTGCAAAATAGATCTCAGAACATTCATATTCTTCAACACTCAAAGACAGACCTACACTGAAAAAGAATAGGTTCAAAACATGAAATTGAAAATACCTTTGGTGCTTTTCCTGCTTTCAATGCTCTGACTTTCTCTCCTTGTTCAGTTACTCTTTCAAACAGCTGAAGAGGACTCAGAGACTTCAAATCACAGTTCAGACTATCAGCCATTGTGCCAGACTGCACAAAGATCTGTTTAGTTACAACTAAATTTATCCAATTCTTTGGCTTGTAGATTCAAAACAGCAGCAACAACAAGGAGAACTGTAGGGCAAAAAGCATTGTGTTTTATTCTTTTGTGTAAATCTTGAAGATTAGATGAGCAGAATAAGAATATAAACACTATACTGACCCCATACCAAATTCTATTCACATCGAATTGATAAATGTGGAGATATTAATACAATGAGCTTCAGTTTCATACAGAAATGGACTGAGACTAACAGGAGTAACAAATAAATTTAGAGATCACTGTTCGTGTTGTTTGTCTACATATTTAACACTAGACCACCTTTTCAAAGTCAAATTCCTGTGAAAAGAAAAAGTAATTGAATATATGTACGATCCAGAGCAACCCAGAACAATTGGTAGAGGTTATCTGATTCCTGATTAGTTAATGTTCCTGCACTGATACCCTGTCAAATTCTGAATGATGAGATTTTTATAGCTATGATACAGAATTTTGTCTTAATATATGTAATAGAGTACTTCAGACCAAAGAAAGATATACAAGAGAAAAGCTTACTCATCTTCTTCATGGCCTTCCTGCACAGGTTACAAACACACTGATGATTAGAGAGAAATGCTGCTTTCTAAAGAATCCTTGGGTCAGTAATAGGCTGTAAATTTGCAGAACTATGTGTTTCTCAGAAATACTCAGGAAAAATAATAGGAGAAGGCTTAAAATGAGGTGTTGGATGAGACTAATAACACAGCAGTCTTCCTATGTCCAACATATCCCTTGATCACTGCAGCTTCCTACCACAGAGCGTGCCCATGCCTCCACAAATGGGCTTCTCTCCCAGACTAACAACTATAATGTTCTATATATTAACAATAACATCATCTGAAAGTTTTTTAGCAGTCTATTAGTTATCAGTGACTTTGCAGAACTACAACTGCATAGTTTACAGTAGACTAACACAGTAAAATAATGTCATTAAAATGTTAGATAAGCATAGTCTCTATTACCAAATGCATTAAAATTATTTTCACTCTACAGCAGAAAAATCTTGGTCTTTGGCTTATCAGTTATCTTCTAAAATGTTATAAATAAACTCTGCTGAACTTAATTGTAATTAATACATTGAACACCTCTTAGTAATTAGCAAGTCAGGAAACCCCTGTAACACAGATTGCATTGAATTACCTTATACCTTACTACATATACCTCCCATAAAGGTGTCACAGCAATTAATGGTATCACAGCAATTTCTCCCTCTGATTTTTCTAAAATTACAAATCGTCTTCAGATAACCTCTGAAAAAAGCCCAGAGTTTTATTTATGTCTAACAAACCTGGTGAACCTGTTATCAACCTGCCACGTGTGAACACTCATTTCAACTGCAGAGGCGTAATTCCTCATTTTAAAAATCCTTATTTTCAAAAGTTATTCATGCTCAGCAGATCTCTATACAAAATGATGAGGTCTTTAGAGTTATATATGCTCTGAATATTCTTCTGGTAAAAATTCAAGCATCGTGCTGCTTAAATATTGAGAACTGAGGACAAACAAGCATTAACTTGAAACGGGAAGGGAGTTTTTATGGTTGTGGTTATAGTGAGCTTGTCGTATTTACACAGAAGAAAATTAGTGCTAAGAATATGTAAGGAGGACACCATCTGTCAGAAAAATAACACTGTAAGTGGAACTGCAACTAACTCAAATCCATTCGGGAAGAACATATCACAAGGTACACAGGGAAGCATCGTAAAACCTGTGGCTGTTAAAATGAGGTAACAGGAAAAAAAAAAAGAAACAGAAGCCTGTAATAGTTGCTTTAGCTGTTCCACAGTATTTCAAAGCCTTCCTTCTACAAAATAATCAGCCTAATCACAACCTTGGTTATATTTACACAGCATATATTTAAACTGCCACTGTAAAAAGCCTTCAGCTGCCTAGTAAACTTAGGAAGGTCAATTTGGTAACTTGCTAGTTACCAAAACACACCTATGATTAAGGCTTTGTTTGTCACTCAGCTGCAATATTCCCATATTTCAGTTTCAGATGAATAGCCTGAGAAAACTGAGAAGTGTATACATCCACTTGCTAATGTGATTTGCTTAGTCTATTAACTCTGATACCCTATTTAGATGACATAATTGACTAAAATAAGACTAATGTGTCACCAGTAATACTTAAATTTTTAACCTAATCTCAATCCCTTCAAGCTTGACTTTTTGCAGTTTGACAGTGTAATTAAAAAAAAACTAATTTGAAGCAGATCAAACAATTCTTTGATGCATTCCTACAGTTTAATAACTTCTTATATTTGGATATAAGTGCTTTCCATTTTTTCATAGGCACAAGATATTTAAGTGGAAGAGAAAGTGTAGAATAAACACATATTACAAAATATTTAGGAAGATTAACACGCACCCTTTCTGTACAAACACGTCAGTTATATTTACTTCAAATTTTAAAAAATAGAAAATATATAAAAAAGAATTTTCTTTGGCGTAGAACAGATTGTGATTTGGTGTTTTAACTTAATCCTTGAAAGGACATTGTTACCGATAGATTGCTTCCACTCAGAAAGGCTGAAATGACAGCTGAAACTGAGTACATATGCTGGAAAGCATTAACCAGAAAGAACTCTTTAAAATGTTTGGAATATTATGGATTTAAGATGAGCAAAGAATCACAAATGAAGATGCATTTTCATTAGGAAGTAACAAAAGTAATCTAGTCGCTGCAAGAAGATACGAAGATATTATGACTATAAAATGCAAAACATATTGACTGCTACATAAAAGTTATCTCTATTTACCTCAGTACTGTCCCTATTCAAGCCAGGAATTCAGTAATGTGCACTACAGGTCTTTATCTTTTGAAATTCATAAATGCAACTCTGAATAGTTTTTAAAAAAATGTTTGGATATCCAGCATTTTATCAGGAATTTTTTCTTCACTTTCTTATTGATATTATGAAAACTAAAAGTCCCGGACACATCAGATACCACAGACCTGGAGTAAAAAAATGGTACATGGGAATTTGAGAATGGGCTATTAGGATATTTGGGACCAGGATCCAAAACGAACTTAAAAGCCTCAGTTTCATGGTGTGAACTTGAAAGCCAAGATTTGTGTGCCTTGTCTACCTATGCAACACAGGTAACCTGTAATGGGTACGGCTCCTATGTCCATTTCAGAACATTAAACTGTTGTGAGACAAAGCTCAAAAATCATCCTTGGCAAAGTTATCAGAAAAGTGCTCTCTTTCCCAGCAGATGACCATCACAGACCTATGACCATTTTCACTGTTTGCAATCTGATTTGGTAAGTTAGAGACCCAAGAATTAAAGAGCAGGGCTTCACGTTATGTTAACAAGAGCTCTTTCATGACAAACATCCTATGAAGGCACATCAGGACTTCCAAAGACAACAGTAACACAGCAGTCCACAAAAAGCTTCCATGAGCAAATGAAAGAATGTGGAAGTAAGTCTAAGAGCACTTACGTTCCTGGAAACTGTTTTGCCTCCTGCAAATAAAACAAAAAAGTGAAATTAAAGTAGGTAGTACCCACACAGAAACACACCTCGAGAAGTACTCCAACACAGGCTGCATTTTGCAGAAGACCTACCTTCCCAGTCATGACAGACACCAATGAAAATATGAAACTACAATGAAAGAGTGTAAGATGACTCCCCAAGATGACAAGAGGACCACTCAACCATTGTCAGCTGAAGAAAGTCCATGTGAATCTTTACTATACACTAGCTGTTATGAGCAAAGCTGCTGTCCAGCAACGGGTCTGCACCAAATGACCCAGGACGCCAGTGTTCCCTGAGCCCTGCAGCATTCCCTGCCACACCCTGCCCGGCCAGGGCCGGCTGTGCCCTTCCCGCGGTGGGATGCGTTTTCCCGTGGCCTGGACATCTCACCCTGCCCTTCCCTTCCCAGGGCATCTTGTCCCGACGCGTTGGCGATGTAGCCCCGGAGGCCGCAGGGAGTAAAGGAAAAGCCGTCCAGCCCATCCACGCCTCGCACAGGGAGGGAGGGAGGGAGGGAACGTGCCCAGCAGAGACCTCTCGCGCCCAGCGCCTCGCACCGCTCACGGGGGTGGCAATGACTGCCCAGCCAGCCCCCCTCCCGCTCGCGAGAGTCCATCCCCGCAGCCCCATCCCATTATATCCCATTCCCTCCCGTCCCTCCTCACCCTCTGCTCCTCGCTCTCCACCATTGCATCACCCCCACGCCGGCACGGCTACCACGTGTCCCGACTGGGAAACACATCCCCCCGGAACCATTGCCTCCCACAGCCCTCCCCCCTCTTCCAGCCCCCAGCCCAAGGAAGAGCTCTCCCCGCCACTCGCAGCGGTGGAAGAAGGGCTCCTGCGCGCTCAGCGAGCCGCGGCTTCACCTCCTCACTTCCCAACGCGCGGGCCTGGCGCGGAGGATACGGCGCGCGGAACTGATTGAGTGGGGCTGTTGTTTCCACCCGGCGCGCCTTTAAAAGCGGCGCGGCGGCGGCCCTGCAGGTGAGTTGTGGGCGCGGCGGCGGCGGGAGCGGAGGGTCCCCCGTGGACGGGAGCTGTCCCTGCGCGGAGCGGTCCCGGGATGGAGCTGTCGCGATATTGGGCTCTCCCGGTCCCACGAGTGGCCTCGGCGCCCGGGGCTGCGGGAAGAGTGTGCGCGCGCGCGCGTGTGTGTGCAGAGGTTACGACTCCACGGGAGAGCGCAAGGAGGCGGCCTCGGTGCCCAGACCCGCTGCCTCGGGCAGGGCTGCTCCGGGGACACCGGAGGGGGGTGGTGCGGTGGGTCGTGTTCACGGAAGCACAGAGTCGTTACGGCTGGAAGGGATTTCTGGAGATCATCCAGTCCAATCCCCCCCGCCAAGGCAGGGTCACCTGGAGCAGGTGACGCAGGAACGCGTCCAAGTGGCTTTGGAATGTCTCCGGAGAGGGAGACTCCACGACCTCCCCGGGCAGCCTGTTCCAGTGCTCTGCCATCCTCAATGTAAAGAAGTTCTTCCTCGTGTTGAGGTGAAAGTTCTTGTCGTTTGTGGCCATTGCTCCTCGTCCTGTCACTGGGGACCACCGAAAAGAGCCTGACACCATCCTCTTGGAACCCACCTTTGAGATATTTATGTGCGTTAACGAGATCCCCTCTCAGTCTCCAGACTAAAAAGGCCCATCTCCTGCAGTCTCTCCTCAAAAGGGAGAAGCTTCAGACCCCTCATCATCTTTGTGGCTTCCGCTGGGCCCTCTCCGGTGCTTTGTTCTTCCCCTCTGGGGGCCGTGGGGCACCGGGAGTGAGGAAGCAGCCCCGAGGGGGTGGCGATGCCTCCCGTGTGACCGCACCGGGGCCGGCGGGAGGGACCTGCGGTGCTGCCTCTGCTCCCATGTCACAGCATCCACGATCACTCAGTGGGTGTGGGGCGTTGTGCGGGACAGACTGAATGCTCCTTGGTTCAATGTGTTCAGGGAAATCAGCAGTCTGGAAATTAAAACTGAAATTCTATGAACTCTAACTATTAGCTCAGCACATTGTAAATCATATATCGTTAATAAATTCACACTCTAGTTACAGTGTTTCTGATCAAGTACCTTGTGGTTTCCATCTCCCCCCCGTTTTTCTTTAGTTAGGGCAAGGTAAGAAACTTTGGGTGGTGTTGCTTTAAAAGCAGATGTTGATGGGAAGTCTTTAGATGAGAGAAATGCTTTGGTTTTACAAAAGTACTGACACGTATGGGTGATGTGTGTGGTGGGATGGATTTGTGCTGGCCAGATGTAATGGGACAGTTTCTTTCCAGTATCTTGTGGGAAATGTTTTTAACCTGGTGTTTGCACGGCACTGTGGTGCACTTGGTTCTGAATCTCAGCTTGAGTTTTTTTGTGTTAAAACAAATAAAGTAGCTCTGCAAGTCTAACCCAATCCACTTGTGTATCTTAGTTTATAGCTTTTAGCCAGAGGTCAACTTCTTATTGTATTTGTTCCTTGGAAATGGTGCATTTGGCTGGGCCCTGTTTTTAGCACTGCAATATAAACAGTAACCACTCAATACAGTTACTCAAAGCTGCTATTTATTTGATGTTTCAATTTACTGCTAAACCCTTCAATTTACCGTTTTTGAGTTGATTTCTTAGTTTAGTTTACTTGATATGCTACTTATTTTTTTCCTTGACATTGTTTAAATGAAATGTTGTTGTAATAAGTGTAGCTGTATTACTAAAAAAAGAATTTTTCCTTGCTCTTCTTTGCTGACACTTATAGCTATCTTAAACTTCAAATAAGGACAAAATGTCCTCTAGAGGGAGATCTTGTTGCTTTTATGTGCTAAAATGTTGGTCACCTTGTTCCAGTTAAATGTTTTGATCACCTATCTTGGAAAGGATATGTGATGATGAATGTGTGTATCTTAATAAGTACTTCTGCTCTGGATCTGTGCTCGGAAATTTCATAACAGGATACAGAATATAATAGCCTGTCATGAAACACTTCTGTAGGTTAAGTGAAACATAGTTGTTTTAGTTCAAGTAGATTTAATTCTGAAGTTAAATGAATAATCTTTACAAGTTCCTGCTTTACACTACTCCTGCAGGAGAATTTGTAGGACTTACATTTGTGGCATCAATTCTGCAAATGCTTACAAAGATACTGACTTTCATGCATCACTCTCTTTTTCATCAAGATGCTTTTGAGGGCAGTTTCTTTACTGTCGTAAACCAAGAATTTCAGTAGCTGCTCTGAAAGTGTTGTGGGTTAAATCTCTTCAGCATAATGAGTGCTAACAGCTGGGCAAGGAAACAAAGCAGAAATAAAATGTCCCATTCGATCGATCTTGGCAGTACTTTCTGCCTATAAACAGCAGAGGTTGAAATATTACTTTGCAGACACATCAGTTGTTTGAATGTAGTTAACTATATTCCATATGCTCAATCCAAATTACTGGAAGAATCTTGGTGGGATTATTATGAGGGTGAGTTATTCAGCATGTTACATATGCAGCCTCAGCATGAGATTTTTCTCACAGACACATTGAAAAACCTTATTCCACAGTAAAGGCATCTGTGCTCTTATTTTTCTGTAAGTAAATGCGAATAGTGAATTTGGTGTAGTTTCTGTTATGTCTGTTGTGTAAAACTAAAGGCTGTGTGGAACTTACTCAATGGATATGGTTGGAAAATTTCCTCATCCTGTGACAACTGCTGAATGGGTCAAAGATGTGTTCACTTTTTTAGTTGCCAGTTGAACCCCTACATACTTCTTTCAAGTCCTCTGTACTGTTAAGAAATAGATATTGTCAGTCTGACTCCAAAATAGTTGTAGTATTTGTATTCTTATAAATGTACATACCAAACCACTACATAATTAGTTAATTTCTTTTGTGTTCGTGTGAGGAGAAGTAATACTGCAAGTAAGGTAAAGTGATTTGCATTATTTATATTGCAGGATTGTTTTCCTTTTCATACTCTTTTTCATTGTTTTATGGTATGCAAATACACTTCTGCAGTGCATTAAAAATGTATACAAAGGGCTTGGAGGCAAATGATGTTGTGTAATTGAAGGTACAGATGTGTTTTAATAGAGGAATAAATGCCATTGATAAATAGGAATAGAAGTTTGATGGTTTTTGTTAAGAAAGGCATATTTACTCATATTGTAGACTCTTTAATGAATTGTGCTCTGAATAATCAATTCTTTATTTTAGATCATAATTTTGGAGGATTGCAGCGCTGAGATCTCTGGAGTCTGCTGTGTGTAGCCATAATGAGTTCATCACTGGTTGCTTATGAAGATTCAGACTCTGAGACAGAAACTGAGAAGACTGAAGTCCCCCAAGCTTTTGGCACACAAATGAGCTCTCAGAGGTCTTCTGTGAGTTGTGGTCAGCACTTTGCACCTGGTAGTTTGGGTACAAAATCTACATATGAAATGCACCCTACGGAGAACAGTGGCAGTTCTGGCACAAGCACTGTTTGTGAAGATCCCCCTGAGCTTTATGCACAGAATAATAACACTGACTTGACATCTCCTTATTCTAGGAGGGCATACCCTGACCATGCTGCATTATCTATGCCTTACAGAAACTATGAACAGACCTCAAGCTCTTCAGCCGACTCTGGAAATGGCGTTTCCCAGAAGAGAATACATAAAGACAGTGCTACTGCCATAAAAGGAATTAGACCATATATCCCCAAACGATTGCGTCAAGAAAGTTCCAGTACACCTGAAACAAAGGAATCTGATCAGAGAGGTAGCTCAGATTGTGATGTTAAACTGGGTGTATTGGGAGAGCAGACTTTGAGAAAGATCTCTGAATTAATTAAGCCATATTTGGGATCCAAATATAAATCAACTGAAGTCCCCAAAAGCTTAATATTTTATATGTCTAAACACAGTGGCCCTGTTAATGAAATCCAGTGGTGTCCTGTACGGGAACAGAGTCACATGCTTCTCTCAGCTTCTATGGACAAAACAGTCAAGGTAATGTAAAACAAGATGTTTTGTGGCCCAATCATCAAACTTTAAAATACTGTATTAAAGAATGCTCTTCTGGAAATAACATCCTTGCCTGTGTGTGTTTTAACAGTTCCAATGTATTCAGAATTCAAGGTGATACTTTGAAGTATAAGACTCTATTATGAACTTGCAGCCTAATTCTTCACTATACCCACAGTTCCATTACTTTGGAATTTGGTGTATTGTTTCGGGGTTTTTTTGAATTAGTCATGTGAGTGTTTTATACCTTAAAAAGTTAGGTTTCTGCTAGGTCATTTCTCATGATCTGTACCAGTGTTTTGTCACAATGGCCATAAACACTATGGTCTGCATACAGATCCTTCCAGAAGTCAGTTAACAACTGACTGCCAACACTGGAATAATATTTTGAGGAACTTTTCTGACAGGCCTACATGACTACTGCTGGAGGAGGTCAGATGGATTTTCCATCTGAACTAGTGTGGCAAATAAGACTTGCATCCCAGAGAGGTGTCCTGTCGTGATCTAAGGAGTCTTTCCACTTTAAATTTGTTTCAGGGGTAAATTGCTCCAATACTCAAAGTGTATTTTCCTTCTAGTTTTAATGTTTTGCTTGTTAATTTAGTGAATCCAATGACTTTTATTTTTAAAATGGGTAATAAAAGTATTGTATGTTATGCTTTCCCAGACATAGGGCTAAATGCACCTCTGGGTTCAAATAATAGTCCTCTGGAATGGTTTTACACAGGAACATAGTTTTGATAAGACCATACAGCAAGTGTCCTTTCTGGTGGAAGGCATGCTTGGTTGCATCTAAGATGTATTTACCGTAGCAGCCACAATTATTTTAAAACTTGCTTCTAAAATTCAGGACTTTAATAAATACTACTAAACAGAGACCAAACAGCAGAACACCCCTTGCACCAGCATACTTCTAAAACCAAAGGAGAGAACTTAAAACTGAATTTGAATTCTGATTTAATGTAGGAAAAAATAGTCTTTCTCTTATTCAAATTGAGAATTTTTTCTTTGACTATTTTGCTGTTTAATTTTTAGTGGGGAATAGAATTCCATTTAGTTTGTTTTTTTAACACTTTTTTCTTATCTTAGAATTTTTGTCTTTCCTTTCCTCTTTCCTGAGTTTTGCCATGGGGCCCTGTGAAATATATGCTACCTTTGCATCTTTGAAGCAGCAATGCTCTTGAATCTCGGACAGAGTTTTTGCTTTTGTCTCCAGATGTGTCTACTAAAGCACCTGGTGGTCACAGAAAAGAAAACCCCAGATCTACAGCATGCGTAAAATTTTCTCTTCCTAGTTGTTTATCTTTTATTCTCTTAAGTTATAATGACTTCCCTGGTTCTGTAGTCAGCATAATGTATCAAACTATCAAAGTCTGAATACTTTGAACTTTTAGGAAAGATAGAATTCCTCCATCTTTTCCCAACCTTTTTAACCTCTTTGTCTTAAACATTAACTTGGAGGAAAAAAAGTGCTGATGGATGTTTTTGGTAAGCGGGAATTTAAATTTGGATTGTACAAAACTATTTTACACCACCTCTGGACAATATGTTTGACATTTTGTCTGAAGTTGTAACACAATATAACCTCATTTTATTGAGTGAAATTATGTATGTGTTGAATATAAAACAATCTAAAATCAAAGTTGTTATTGCAATGTAAAACTATTAAAAAATGAAAATAATGGCATGTCTGTTGTGTATTCTAAGCAGAAAGAAAGATTGTTTTTGTAAAGTAGTGTTACCACCCCTGCTTGGAAGCAGTCATTAACCAGTAAGGCTGGTTTTTAAAGAAGTCTAACTGCTTTAGGTTCCCCAAACCTTGGAAATTCAATATAAATAGAATATATTAATGTTGTCAATGCTTCAGAGCACGTGAGTGTAAAAAAAATACTGAAGTAATAATGTGACTGTTAAGCAGTATATGAAAACACACTTCTGTATTTTTAAAGGTAGCCTGTGGAGAGGTATCCATGGGTGCTTCTTACTGTTCTTTCCTGGTGACCCTTTTAATTATTGCGCTGTCACACACAGACCATCCCGGCCAGCAGAGGGCGCGGTGGCATCGAGGATTGCCGGGATGTTGGGAGCCCAATTCCCCTCACTTTCTGGGATCTTGAGCCCGTAAATCCCTGGTGACTGTGACAGCAGTGCTTTATCTTTTGGGGATTTATTTGCAGTCTACCGCTGCCTGAAGTTGCCTATTTTCTGGTATAAGCATAAAACAACTGATTGAAAATGCAGATGTACTTGTTTTTTCCCCCCTCGTCCTTTAACTTCCCACAACTTACCTTTTTTGTTGTTTTCTTCCCACAACACCTGCTTGGAATTGCTAGTTTAAGCCTAGACAGTGGATGCATGTCCTCTTTACCTCTGATGGGAATATGCAGACAATCAGGATGTTTGCACTATTTACTTTCAACATTTGATTAAGGTAAAACTCAAAGCACAGTTAGAAGTCTAAAATCCCTATATGATCAGAGACAGTAGGCAATCCAGAGCCTCAAAACTCTGTACTTTGAGTTAGTTGTATGAATAACTGTGACTGAGTAGTTTTATGTGTAAATGTCTTGGATTCAGTCCTTACATTCAGCCTATGAATTAAGACATTTATCCTTTGAAGAGTCCAGTATTAGTGAAGATTTCTCAGAACTGAGAGTTCTATCTAAGTTGATATGACTGTGATAGTTTGTGCTTAAATCAGAGATCTATAGTTGTATGCAATTTGTGTAGTGTTTAGCCAGTTTTGTGTATTTTATCTGTTATTGTGTGCTTAAAGGTTTTCCTCTTAAATTTTCATCCCTAACCGCCCCCCCCCCCCACCCCCCAGCATAGAGAAAGAAGAGACACTTGCTTTAGTTACCTTACTTTAGTGATTTTAATTTTTTTGTCCCATGTAAATTACTATGGCTAAGTCATTAATATCACACAGATAAGTATCTAAAATGCATATATGAAACCGATTATATGGTTTCTTACTTTTTAAGTGTGTGTGCTTATCCTGTTTAAATCAGAAGAAAAGAACAGTCTTCCATTTATGTTCTCTCTGTGATGTTAAAATGTACATTTTAAAATCATCTTTATGAATCAATGTAAATTATACTAAAATATTTACAATAAATGAGTCGATGTCTTCAGTTTCTGTTGACTGAAGCATAGCCTAGAGTCAGGGAAGATCATCCGAAGCATTTTGTATAAATATTTTGCATATCTAGGAATGAATGGACTGTTTTAGGGGACTTCATAGTTTTCTTTGAAAGTATTTGATCTGAATTTTTTGTTTATCGCTGCGTTTGAAAAACCTCAAACAGTTATCAAGTGGTTGAGTTGAAAAAAATATCAGTTATCAGCTCAGGGGCGTGATTCTCTAGAGTAACATTTCCACCAGCAGATGGGGTGCCTCGACCTATTAGAAAGTGATGGGAACTAAACTCTGCCTCTAAAGACTGGAAGACTTTAATATTCGCCTCTGTTGTGTGTTGAAAGACCAAAGTTACAAGTTTATGCATGTGTTGGTAAACATATAAGAAAACAACTGAGTTTTCTTAGAGACCTGAAAATATGATAGAATTTCATGTGGAAAGAGATATGTATTGCAGATTAGTAACTCACAGTTCTTCAAACCTGGAGCATTAATAGAAGAATATTTCATGCTGAATTTCAAATTTGTAAGGAAGGGGGAAAAAACCCCTCCTAGTTGTGTAGGTTTTGTCAAATTTTTTACCCTCTGTTTTTGTAGAATTTTTAACTTCCCTTTGAAAGTTCCAGCCTAGGTAGCTATTAGAAAGGGACAGAAACCCTGATTCAGGGTTGGGAAAAGTACTGTTGGGAGCTCTTACTGTGACAGTTCTATTCTTCACAGTTGTATTCTAACTGTATTGGGATGGATTATGTTTTTAGCTTTATGTATTTTAAGGATTGTGAAACATTATTGTCTGAACTGATTACATTTGTTTTGTTTGACTAACACTTCTGTTTGAATGGCTGCTGTAATTGAAATTTAGGCTACTACTGCCATTATTTGGGTTTTCCTACTAAAACACCAAAATAGTCTTTGTGATTTTAATATCTCATCTAGTGTTTTTTCGCATGAATGTTAAGACTCAACACCATTATTAAAGGTGCCTGGTTCCTTGTTCTGATATACAATGCTTTGTATATCAGACCTTGCTTAGGTATTTCTGGTTTAGAACCCCAGCTACAGAACCCAGAATCACAGGTTACCATTGAATACAGCTGCTTGCCTTCCATAGCAGGGAACATTAAAAAATTGTGTCTTGAAAGATGTGTTTACCAATTGCAGAAATGACAATGCTGTTCATTCACATTGACAGTGTCTTATATTTGGAAGACCTTGTCATTACGTAGAGCCACACAGACGTTAATGTTTTCACTACTTACTGATTCTGGACTTAGCTTTTTAACAATTGTTCATAACTTCAAGCCTCCTATGCCTTTATTCTGTATTTCCTATTTTTGTCTTTAAAAAGATGTTACCTGGAGTTAATTTTTAATCATCTGTTAGCTTTTAATTTTGTGTTCCTGATTTTTTATTTAGAGCACCACAGCAGGGATTATGTTTGTTGCAAAGTATTTCTTAATTTTCAGCACTTTCATTCTCTGTTGTTAAACAGGATCAAGGAAAGAAAGTACTGAGATTCTTGAGTGTGCAAAATGTATATTAATAGCACTTTGACAGGATGTCTTGTGTTGTAATACATTGCTGGAAGTTTTTCTTATACATTTTTTCCCTATTTGCCTAGTTGAATGTTGTTTAGTCACAGTTGAATCTATACAAGCAAAGCAAAAGTTTTTAAAATGAGTGTGGTGGGTTGACCTTGGCTGGATGCCAGATGCCCACCAGGCTGCTTTATCACTCCCCTTCCCAGCTGGACAGGGGAGAAAGAGTGAGGTGAGAAATGACTCATAGATTGAGATAAGGCAGTTTACTAAAGCAAAAGTTTGAATGCACAGAAACAAAGCGGAAA